CAACAAAGATCCTCTATAAAAGCAAAAACAAGCCCTTTCTGTCAGGATCCGGAGCGCCCCCAGGTGTCACCGGAGCCCGGTCCTGCAGTTCCTGTGCTCACCTGCGGGTGTCTCCAGCAGCCAGGAGCTGTCAGGAACCTGCCAGGATCCAGAGCACACCCAGGTGGCGCTGGAGCCAGGTCCTGCAGTTCCTGTGCTTGCCTGCAGGTGTCTCCAGCAGTCAGGAACTGTCAGGAACCTGACCACCACTGGGTGGTGCTAGTACCTGCAGCTCCAGTACTCACCTGCGGGTGTGCCCCAGCTGTGACTGATCATCCCATCACCTGGTGCTTCCTGGGAGGGTATTTAGGCCCTCCCTGCAGTCAGGAAGCTGGCTCAGTATTGCGTCATCTGCCCCTGACTGACTCCCGTGTCCCGTGCCTTGGAACCTGGAACCCTGCTACCCGAACCCTGCAAACCCGTAACCGACCCGGCTTGTTACCTGACCACTCTTCCTGTATCCTGAGCCCTGCTATCTATCTGCAGTCCCTAGCCTTGTTCCCATTTGTTGTTGCCCCTGGCTGTAGGTTTTTTTTTTTGTTATTTCACTGCTAACCTGTGGGGGCTGATGGGGTCTGTAGTTCCTGCCCACAGGAAAATAAATGGTCTCCCTTAACGCAATGCACGTTAATGCTTGGCATAACGAACATCAACGTGTGTGCACCACTGCAGTGTAAACTCAGCCACTAAGTTGGGAAAAAAATATAGGAGCTGCTATGACTAATATCAAACAACCGTAACGGTTTTCCTAGCTTGGATCTGTGAACTACAAAAGACTGCCTCCCTGTATTGGCAAAGAGGAAAGGAGAAAGGGTTTTGTAGTCCAAATGAGGAGAACAGACTAAGGTAACCTCCATAGATACAGTGCAGTGAGTGAGTGTCATTACTCTAGGATAGCAAATGTGTTACTGGCAGGATTTCCAAGTAAAAATAAAGGAAACAAAAGACTGAAAAAAAGAGAACTAATGCAGCCACCACCACAAGGACTGATAAGCTGCAATATATTACAGTCTGGTTTTTGGGTTTAGATACACTGAAGCATGAATCTACCAGATTCACCTAGAAAAACTGTAGACCACTAGAGCTGCAGCTAACGATTATTTTCAAAATTGATTAGTTAGCCGATTATTAAGTTCGATTAATCGGATAAAAAATTAAATAAAACAAATTTTAAAAAATGGCTCCAGTGATGGACTACTAGTTTGTATTGAGGTTGTAGTCCATCACAGGAGCAAGCTTGGAGCGGAGGAAGTAAAAAAAAAAAAAGTGTGGTGTGCAATATAGTGAAATGAAGAGGACTACAAAACCCAGCAATAGTACATTATACGGCACAATGCAGAATACCACTATCTATAGAGGACTACAAATCCCAACAATACATTATACAGTAATGCAGAATACCACCAGCTATAGAGGACTACAAATCCCAGCAATAGTGCACTATAGCTGGCGGTATTCTGCATTGCTCTGTATAATGTATTACTGCTGAGATTTGTTGTACTCCTCTATAGGTGGTGGTATTCCGCATTGCGCTGTATAATGTATTATTCCTTGATTTGCAGTCCTCTAGACAGCGCAATGCAGAATACCACCAGTTATATAGGAATACAAGAAATCCCAATATACATACAGTGTATAATGTATTGCTGGGATATGTATTCCTCTATAGCTGATGGTACATTGTGCTGTATAACCATGTGTGGGAAAGTGCAGGCTTACCTGAGCAGTCTTCCAGCAACTTGTTTGCAGCGTGTGTGGAGCCGTGAATAGGGCCAACCAATCGGAAGCCGATTAATCGATGATTGAAAAAGTTGACAACTTTTTCAATCATCGATTATAATCAATTATGTTGATTAGTTGTTGCAGTCCTATAGACCACCAAAAGGTGCTAAACCCAACATGGCAAATAGAAATAAATTGCTGCTTGATCATTTTATAAATATCCTAAAGCCCCCAAAAGCTAATATTTAGTGGGTAATGTCAAAGAGCTTAGGATTCGTAATTCCTTAACACTTTAGTGGATAGCCAGTGCTAGACACAAATCAAGGAACAATAAAAAGAAGGGTGACATTGCTGTTGAGTACCTCTCTAAATTCCTGCCGTCAGGAATTGCCAGCCAAAACCTAGGCAACATGAATCCTCCCCTTGGATGGGGACCAGGGTTGTGGGCTGTCTGTTGGTTTAAAGTCCAATTTAGAAGCAGAAATGGAACATATGGAGAGCAGTCAGATGGAGATGGCGAACTCTTGGCTCACCATTATCATTCAACAAACCCATTTTTTTTTGTAGCCAACCCCAATCTTTATAGTTTATTGCATATAGTTTCTATGACATAAGATCTGTCCGCTTTTGTTTTACAATAATCCTTTTCATTTTTTTACATAAGATTCTGCTATTGAAATGTATTATTCAGTGTTTTTGCACCTTGTCATGTGTAGAAGTCTGTGTAGTATCCTGGCAGTCTGGTAGTGTCTGTGCACGCCTTTACAAATGCAGTAACCTTTTTATTTTTTGTTAAAGACAAGGAATGAGCACTCGTCTGGCTCAACAATTGATTTACTGTGCACAGTGCTGGGACAAGGTCCTCTGCCCCCCACCCTCCAAGGCACCCCCCTTCACGACTGAGACATTTCGAGCTTTCACATCTGCACATACAGTGGCCAGACTGGTGCAGGGAGAGCTGTGCTCTCCCTGTGTAATCTGAAGGACTGAGCTGAGCTGCACAGTTCAGGATATGGCCAGTCAGGAGATCCAGGAAGGACACCCCCCATTTCCCCAGCATGACATCTGAGGCGGGTGGCTCTTCTGCCTATGCTTTGTACTAGTCCTGCCTATGTAATCTTTTTTAGACACACAGCACTGGGCAGATGCTTTGATCTGCCATCTTACAGTCCAGGTATCTCTAAATTGAATAGCGACATTTTAGAGGGCGCTACACACACTTAAATGGTGTCTGTGCCATTTGACAGCTATGTCATATGGTGGCAGAGTGACCATACATACAGCTCCTAGCATTTTCATTTTGATTTGCATGTGTAGGACAGTTAGAGGCCATGTGAATATTAAAGTGGTTCACTCCTCCAGCCTATTCAATATGACTGTGCATATGACATTAGGGGCAGCCCAAATCCTATCTCCGCCACAACTCAGTCTGAGGCTACCACCTGCACCACACAGGAGCCACATAAGAACAATGGAAACCCATAGCAGAGTAATAGATCTCCGACACTGGGCTACACCAGAAAACGCTTGTCCGTTCCAGGGCTAGCGCTCTGCACAGCTGATTTTAGAGCACGATGAATGAATACAGTTTCACTGCCAGTAAAGTTGCTCCCCCTTCTCTTCTGTTGCAGCATGATGTTGGTTCTACCAAAGTAGCCTGAAGCTGGAACATGGGACCTCTTTTCTGGGTGTATGGGGTAGAAAGCTTTTTTTTACTTTGATCTACAGCAATTGAGGCTTTGTGTATTGGGTATGCTACGGGCAGGTGAGAATTTGACTGGTTTTATATAGAAAAATTCCAAATACATTTACTGCAGGAGTGGAGGGGGTTACAGTACATAAAATCCAAGAGTCAGTAGGTCAAGCCTAGAAGTCTGCAAGCTATTTAATGGAGGCAGGAAAATAGAGCAGCTGTGGCCATTAATATAAATTATTAGTGGTGCTTTAGGTGCATTGAGTCATGACTACCTTGCTCTTGGTATTTGTTCAGCCCAGCATAACCTGATGTTTGTGTGTTTACTTGCAATTTTCATCCAGATCGTAGCTCGCCTTGAATTTGCTCAAAAGTGGCTCATGTGGAGACATTTAATGAGGCACGAAGCAATGTGCAAAGTGCAATAAAGATAACAGCCAATCAGCAATCTTCTTTCACTCTGACTACACTAAACTATGGAAGATGGCATCCTTTGAGTAACTGTACATCTTCCTCCCTAAAATTCCACCTTTTTAAAAATGTGATATAGATAATTCCTTCAGAAGCTATTCTGTAATTTAAAGGCATTTAGGAAATTACCTTTTAATTTCAACATGAAGAAAATGTTTAAAATTTATTTTCCATGCAACTGTGTGCTATGTGTACAGGTCTTCCTGCATGTCCCATCCCTTTGCTCATGTGAATGCTAAAGATCCCCTGCAGTATGTATTTATGGTGAGATACTTAGTCCATGTACATATAAAGGGCTGCAGGGGTATCAGCTTTTGTTAATGCAGTTGATAGTCTCATGATGTGACCACAGTAAAGGCATACCCTCCTACTAAGCAGTCAGTTTTAAAAAATGAATAATAAGCCCTACATCAGAATTCCCAGAACAGAGGAAGGTAAGTATTATCAGTAACGTTTGCTAAAATTCCTTGCAATGTATATAGTTGAGTGTTTTCAATCCTATCATCATCTTAACTATCATCAAAGTACCCGACCTGGCCTAAAACATTTCTAAGGTAACAACAGTGCCCATGTTAGTCATGAGATCAATCACTTTGGAGCCCCCTGGGATCCTAGGCCTGGACTGTACATGGGGATTTGAATTTTGGCCATGTCCAGTTTAACCTCTGTGACTTCCTGCTGCCAAGACCTCCCTATCATTCAACTGTTGATAGAACTTCTGCGTAAAATAGAGGCTCTGGCATTCGGCATATGAATGGTGGAGGCACATCTTATTGTCCGGAAAGGGTGGAGCTTAATCTCAACTTGAGTAAAAGTCAAGTTGCAATGCCCAGTCTGGACTTTGGATACAGAGGGGTGCCACAGGGCCACAGGTATGGATTCCAAGAGTGACACAAGTACTTGCAGACACCACTAGATGCTGTACTTCAGCAATGTTGTTACCTAAAACCCATTTTATTCCTGGTTGGGTTTATCTTAAGAGAGAGTTTACTGGGTGAAAAAATGTTCCACAAAGAAAACTGATTCCTCTTTCTTCTCTACAGATCAGCATTGAGATGAGGTGAACACGAACTACACCAGGACAGCGCTACATTAAAATGACACGAACAGACCCACCTGACATACTAGTTTCTACAGTTTACCAAGACGTGAAGGTAACCCTGAGCACTGATTCTCAAATCTGTGGTTCACCTGCACAATGTGACAGCTTCATGTCCAACCACAAGGACCTCAGCCAGCCACCATTCAATAAAAGGCACTGCCGCAGCTTCGACTTTCTTGAATCTCTAGACGACCAGCTGACCAACGCTCAAGCCATGGATGCCTACCATCGAGGAGCTCGCAGGCGTGCTGACACACCAGAACCATCAAACCAGCCTGTAGTGAGGAGGTCCTCTTCCAGGTCTGATCCACAATACACTTCTCAGGGGGTGGACACCTCAAAGGAAGCAAAAGAACCAAGGAGACGTCCAAGATCAAAGAGTGCACCAAGAGTCAAAACCACCTTCACCTCAGTTCCCATACAAATGTCTTCATCACAGTCCCCACCACCCACTGCCAGGAGAGGCAGAGAGGCTGTGAGGGCTTCAAGAGAGCCCCAGAAATCTGTGGCCTCTCCCAAAAGGGAAGTCACCTATGCTCCTACCAAGGTAATAATGAATGAGGTTCACCCCATAAAGTTACAACCCCAGCGCAACAGTGCAAGCCGCATCTCTCCTTTGTGTGTCAGCAATAATTGCATGGAGGATCCCCAATGTGGGAAGCCAATCTCCAGTCCCCATGTGCGATGCCGAGTTGACATAAAGCCTGATGATGCAGTTATTCAGCATGCCGCTCATGCCTCCAAATCTAACCAGGCTTGGGGAGAGCCACAGCATTTCCCAAGGCAACCAGGCACCCCGCGGAGCTTAGCAGTGCCAAATGCAAGATTGATGTCAGTGTCTCGTACACCCACGCCCAGTGATTCCTACAGTGTTGATCCAAGAATGACCCACTTTGCTTGCACTCCGGGGCAGGAAATGTATGGAACTGATGGGCGAGGAATCCCATACCAAAGTGTTGCTTCACCAAGGGATTTTGCACAGTACAATACCCGGGACTGTGGACAATATGTCAGCCCTACCATCCCCACTGCTTACTTTTACACTGAGGAAGATGGCAACTTTGGCCAAATCCCTGTCAAACCTAGGGGATATTATCCTCGTCCTTATCCCGATCACGGAGTTCCCACACACCAATATTATGAAGAAAATCCCCCAGTGCAACCCAGAGCCTATTATATAGAAGACCCTAGAACGTATCCTATCCAGGAAGCTTCAGTAAGGACGTTTTATAGTGATGATCCCCGTTTTTACCCTCCTCGTACTGCCCAAGCCAAAAGTCTTTATAGTGAAGACATGCGGTCTTATCCACTTCAGAGTACATCATCAAAACTTTATTATTCAGAGGATATTGCAAAATATTCTGAAAGGGAAGCATTATCTAGGACATATCCATATCCCAGAACTACTCAGCAGCCCCTGCAGTTCAGTGAATGGTATTTTCCTGATCAGAGTCCGGTATCTTACCAAACAATCCAAATGCCACCATTTCCCACGCAAACAGCAAGCAGAGAAGCAATGTTATCATCTTGGCATGCTTCTTATAGCATGAACCAGCAAAGACTAGGGACTGATGCAAGAAACTATTCCAGGTCTTGGGACAACATCTTAAACACTGGTGGACGCAAAGAAGACCCACTTTCACGAGGCCGCAGCTATGAAAACCTGTTGTGCCGTGAACGATGTGCCTTATCGCCAGATGATAGACGCCAGCCTGTGGTAGTTAATCTTTCTTGCTCTCCCAAGCGCTATGCTGCCCTCTCGCTCTCAGAAAACTCTATTTTGGAGAAAGTCCATACAGATGGGGGCACTGGAAGGTACACAATGGGCCGATCTTGGTTTGTCACTCCAGAGATTACCATTACCGACAATGACCTGAGAGCCAATGGAGGGGGAAGAAGTGAGCGTCGCTCCGCTAGCTGGGATGTGATAGATTCTGGAATTTCTCCACCCACCTATCCAACACATGTCTCCTACCCTACCAAAGAGAAGATGCCAAGCAGGTCTTCCCGTCACCGCAGCTTGGAGCAGCTTGATGAACTCATTGCTGATTTAGTGATAGATTATAAACCACCATCAAGCCGCCGTCCTAGTGAAACAGATGCATTGGCTGATCAGTTAAGGAAGCTTATTAAAGAAGACATGATAGGGATACCAAGGAAACCAGAGTCCTATGGGCAGATGTCTCATCTTCTCCAAAACCGTCCCCTTAAAGAACAGCCAACTTCTACCTTTCCCGAGTCCCACAGAGGTCAGCGAAGGGGTGCTTTCCCTGAGGTGCCAGTGTCAAGTCCTCATAAGCCCTTAGAGGACTGTTCACCAGATCTCAGTGCCGATGAAGATGATCTATTAACCTGTTCTAATGCCAAGTGCAGGCGCACTGAGACTATGTTTAATGCTTGCCTCTACTTTAAGTCTTGCCATAGCTGCTACACCTACTACTGTTCCCGTAACTGCCGGCGAGAGGATTGGGATATACATAAAGAAAGCTGCATCTATGGGCGTATGGGCAGTGTTTGTCGACATGTGCTCAAATTTTGCAGAGAGACCACTGAGGTGCACAAAGCCTTCTCTCGAATTGCCAAGGTAGGCTATCTGTCCCGAGGGAGAGGGGTGCTCTTTCTTGGCTTCCCCAATCCGGGTTCTGCAGATAATTTTCTTCAGTTAGGACTGGAGGGCCTGCTTATGTCTCCTACATATCTATCTCTGAGGGAACTTGAGAGCTACTCAGATAACCTAGGAGAACATGCCAAGGAATTACAAATAGCTGGCAATGAGTATGACCCTGAGGAATGTTTCATATTGAATGTAACTGTGGCAGTGGGACAAAGTAGCCAGGACCGGCTGTCGTCCAGAGCCCACCATGTACCTACTATCCGCAAGTATGCCAAAATAGCCTTAGCCTCTTCTAGTCCAGAGAGGAAAATCACAAAAAAGGAAAAGGACATGGAGACCCTTATACTGACCCCACCTCCTGGAACGGCTGATTTGGATAAAGATGGGGAGGAGGGTAGAAAGGCCAGAGAAGTTTGCTTTATACATATCCAGAGGGAACTAAGGATTAGGGGGGTCTTCCTACGCCACGAGTATCCTAAGATCTACCAGCAGCTGTGTGAGTTTGTGGAGAACAATAAAAGATTTACACCCACGACCATCTACCCCATTGATAGAAGAACTGGCAAGCAATTCATGTGCATGATCATGGCAGCTTCAGAACCCAGAACTCTTGATTGGGTTGCCAGCCCAAATCTTTTGGATGACCTCATGTGAGATTTGTTTTCAGAAATTACATGTTTCTCTGACTTTTGGCTCCTTGTTTTGTAGTTTACGTTATCTTTTGTATCAGGAGCCATCTTATGATACAGCCTTATGAACAGTGGGCAATGTGAGCAGTAATGGGGTCAATAACACATTGAAAGAGGAAAATTGACTTAAAAAACATTTAGAAGGCATGCAGTAAGATACAAATCCTGGCACTGAGAGAGCTGTAACATCTCTCATGTACCAAAGGCCACAACCACACACTGGTGGCTTTTTATATATATAGATTTACTGAATATTTTATTTTATAGTAAAATGATATTGTAGTTTGCTATTTAATAATATATACAGTGTCGGACTGGCCAAAACAAAAAAAAAACTACCAGAGGATTCTTTGGTGGATTCTGATCATAGATGGGGCGCTAAAATGCATTTGACACAAGGGATATATTTTTTGAAAGTATATTTTATTGCTTTCCAAACTGAAGGGTCATTAATAAATGCATTTATCATTTAGATTATTGTGTATTTATGGTTTCAAATATCTATATTGCATAAAATATATTGTTTTTTTTATTTTAAGATTGGTCCTTGGTGGGCAATGCATACCCCAGTCCGACACTGACTACATATACAGGGTGTTCATAGTTGAAGGACCATTACACCTTTACATAAATGCTGCTTTGGATTATATTGCCATCTTGAAAAAGTCACCCTGTCTCCCCTGGTAAAGGTAAAATGCTAGGAGCTAGGAAATATCAAAACTGCTGGGCACTCCCCTTTACTGAGCCCGCCTCCACCTTATAGTAGTTAATATCGTGAACAATATCCTGTACCGACAAAATTGCTTTAGGACTGAAGCAACATTTCCTAGCTGAACAAACTGCATATGTGGGCACAGAGTATAATTTTAAGTAGAAGGGTGATCCTTTACTTGGGTCAAGCTTACAATATTAAAATTGTAGATGATAATTTCATTGATCCCTGGTTTAGGCAAGGACATTGGCAACAGGCTGCATTTGCCATTCAGAGACTCATAGGCTAGGGCCTAGGACATAAGTATTAGAGGGGGCAGCATCAAGCCTCAAAATTTACAATTGATGATAATCCAATTCTGGACCTTCATGTCTAAATTCAGCAACAGAGCTGTACAGTACAGGGGATGTTGAGAGAAGTCAAAAGACTCACCGTAGTCTAAGTAGTTCTGAAGTAGAATACAGTTGAAAAGTAGATCTTTATATTAGGCAAGGCACATGCTGGACCCTGCTTGCTGCATTCTAGCAGAAGAGTTTACTAAAATAATCACTTGACAGAAGAGGAAGCTTCCACAAAAGGGAATTACCATTCAGGTGTTCCAAGGGCAGCATGCTGCCTTAATACAGCCTTGTACAAGGGGATGCAGGGCAAGTCTCTCAAGATGGCAGCATGTTCCAGGGAATAAATTAATCTAAAGATGTAGCAGTCTTTTTTTTAATTATATTATTCAAGGGGATGTATATCTAGCTTTAACGGAAGTGTCATAGTATAAATTAATAGAGATGGAGCCAGTTTTACATGTGTTGATTAGAAGGCACCTGTACTATAGGAATACATGCAATGTGGTAGGGAAGGTAGATGCCAGTGTTGGCTTTTCCATTTTGTACTTCCATGCAGTGTGCCTGTTATCATGGCAATGCTAACCGGTTAGACTTTGGAAGAATAAAGGCAATATCAGATTAGCAACCTTATAACTGGCTACAATTTGCTAGTCACGGGATTGCTAAGAGACCAGTTGCCTATTCCTGTGGCTTTGCTAACTTGTGAGGTGCTGCTTCTTTGCTAGCGAGCGGGATTCTGCAGCCTGTGGCTTTGCTGCCTTGTGAGATGCTGCTTCTTTGCTAGTGAGTGGGATTCTACATCACTCCCAACCAGTGAGCGTGCAACCCTTATTATGGAAAGTGGTTAGCTTAGACGTCCTCCATAATTGAACTGTCAGACGTGGCTTTTGGGTGTGACAGGCTGTCATTCAGCACCTCAGAACATTGGTGTAAAAACTAACAACCAAACCACTGTTTGTTCCAGATACCATATACAAAAAAGGTGAAGTAGTATGGTAATCAGGACTTTATAAGAATATGAGAATGGGCTCATGGGCCACCTTTCTAAAACTATCCTAAAACCATGATAATAATAATATAAAAAGAGGGCAATGCTTCCCTTCCCTAACCATTTCCCTGGCCATATTTTATTGTGTCTGAAGGTGCACATTAGTATTTGCTCTGTCTCCTTGATACTTCTGTTAGATCTTAATCTACATCTTCCAGAGTACTGTGAGTATAATTATGAGCACTGTGTATATATAGGCCCTAATGTCTGGTGCTGTTTAGAAAGCATTGAGGCTTTTTATCAATCATCATGCGGGTTTTTGATAAAAGTTCTATATAGAATCACTCTAGCAGAACACCCAGGTCAAGTAGATGTTGAACTGTGCGAATATAATGCCTTAGATATAGAATATGCTGGCAGTGACATCTCTAGCAGCCTACTAAATGTCTTGGTTCCATGATAGCCAGGATAGATGTGTACATTCTGGCTATTTGTTTTGTAGCTGGTATGGAATTACAGAATGTCTATTCTTCATCATAACGATTGGACTAAGCAGGATTTTCTGTGTGTACAAGCTGACTTCTTAAAGCTGTTATTTAAAGGATAACAATACAGTACTTTCATATAATCTAACCATAACAACCTCCCCTTGCTACCATAAAAGCTATGTATACCCCTTCTACATACCTCCAATCATCTGGCACAATTGCATTGACTGGACTTGAAGGATGATGTTGGGAAGG